GTTTAACCAAAACCCAATACTAACCCCCCCCCCAACCATCCACTCCACCTACCCACCCATCCACTCCAACCCACCCATCACTCCACCTATCCTTCTACTCCACCCACCCACTCATCCATCCCCCCACCATCCACTCCCCCCCCACTCATCCACTCCACCCACTCATCCACTCCCCCCCACCCCATCCACTCCACCCACCCCAACCCCCTCTACTTACCCCCATCCACCCCAAACCTACTCATCCACTCCACCTACTCATCCACTCCACCTACTCATCCCCCTCCACCTACATCATCCACTCCACCCACCATCCACTCCACCCTCCACCCACTCCACCCCCCATCCACTCCCCTCCCATCCACTCCACTACCCCATCCACTTAACCCACCCATCCACTCAACCCACCCATCCACCCCAACCACCATCCACTCCCCCACCATCACTCCCACCCACCTCCCCCTTCCACCCCCCCATCCATTCACCCACCACCATTCCACCCACATCCCCCTCCACCCCCATCCACTCCACCCACCATCCACTCCACCCACCATCCACTCCACCCACCATCCCACTCCACCCCCCCAATCCATTTCCACCCACTATCCACTCCACCCACCATCCACTCCACCCCCCATCCACTCCACCACCATCCACTCCACCCACCACCCACTCCACCCACCACCCCTCCATCACCACCCAATTTCCATCCACCATCCACTCCATCACCATCCACTTCACCCACCATCACTCCACCACCTTTCCACTCCACCCACCATCCACTCCCAAACACACTTCACTCCACTCACCTTCACTCCACTCACCTTCCACTCCACTCACCATCCCCCTCACCCCCACCATCCACTCCACCACCATCCACTCCACCCACCATCCACTCCACCCACCATCCACTCCACCCACCACCCACCCCACCCACCAAACCACTCCACCCACCATCCACTTCCCCACCATCTACTCCATTCACCTGTCCACTCCACCCACCATCCATTTCCATCCACCCACCCACTCCCCCTCTGCCAGGACAAACCTCCACCAACACTGGAACAGTATAAAAAAGGGCTGAGGAAAAGTGAGATGGCCAGAAAATAAGGTCTTGTGGTGTAGTTAAAAAAATTCTTGTTTTAGAAAGCATAAGGGCCATTGATTGAGAAATTATGGACCAACATCTCCTTTATCATGTACAAAGCTTAAGTCAACCATAAAAAATGACCTAAAACAGGAAAGATGTTTCTGGATTTGCCCCAGTGAGATGGAAAGCTGGTCAGGCATATAGGAAGTACTGAAAAGTGAAAAAACCTAGAAAACTTAAGAAAGTTCCTAAGGAACTTTCCAGATACTTTTGTTTAATAAATGTATGAAAGAGGGGAAGGTACCTAGGGATTGGCAGAGAGCATGTATAGTCCCTTTATATAAAGGGAAAGGGGACAAAAGAGACTGTAAAAATTACAGAGGAATAAGCTTACTGAGTATACCAGGAAAAGTGTACGGTAGGGTTATAATTGAAAGAATTAGAGGTAAGACAGAATGTAGGATTGCGGATGAGCAAGGAGTTTTTAGAGTGGGTAGGGGGATGTGTAGATCAGGGTGTTTACATTGAAGCTATATGTGAACAGTATTTAGATAAAGATGGGAGGTTTTTATTGCATTTATGGAAATTTTAGAAAAGGCATATGATAGAGTGGATAGAGGAGCAATGTGGCAGATGTTGCAAGTATATGGAATAGGTGGTAAGTTATTAAATGCTGTAAAGAGTTTTTTATGAGGATAGTGAGGCTCAGGTTAGGGTGTGTAGAAGAGAGGGAGACTACTTCCCGGTAAAAGTAGGTCTTAGACAGGGATGTGTAATGTCACCATGGTTGTTTAATATATTTATAGATGGGTTGTAAAGGAAGTAAATGCTAGGGTGTTTGGGAGAGGGGTGGGATTAAATTATGGGGAATCAAATTCAAAATGGGAATTGACACAGTTACTTTTTGCTGATGATACTGTGCTTATGGGAGATTCTAAAGAAAAATTGCAAAGGTTAGTGGATGAGTTTGGGAATGTGTGTAAAGGTAGAAAGTTGAAAGTGAACATAGAAAAGAGTAAGGTGATGAGGGTGTCAAATGATTTAGATAAGAAAAAATTGGATATCAAATTGGGGAGGAGGAGTATGGAAGAAGTGAATGTTTTCAGATACTTGGGAGTTGACGTGTCGGCGGATGGATTTATGAAGGATGAGGTTAATCATAGAATTGATGAGGGAAAAAAGGTGAGTGGTGCGTTGAGGTATATGTGGAGTCAAAAAACGTTATCTATGGAGGCAAAGAAGGGAATGTATGAAAGTATAGTAGTACCAACACTCTTATATGGGTGTGAAGCTTGGGTGGTAAATGCAGCAGCAAGGAGACGGTTGGAGGCAGCGGAGATGTCCTGTCTAAGGGCATGTGTGGTGTAAATATTATGCAAAAAATTCGGAGTGTGGAAAATTAGGAGAAGGTGT